TTGACATCTGAATCCCCAGGTAATTCACCACTATTTACCAGCTACATTCATCACCCCTTCCCTGCCCTCAGCCTCTCTCTTGCCCACTGACTCCTCAATTTACATCTTCACTGACTGCTTTTCTTGCATGCATACCAGCCTCTGGCTTCTATACTATTCATTCCACTCATGAAGAGCACACACCAACTGCAGATGATTCCTCAGCCTGCTGGATGACTTTTAAACCTGAAAGCTTGCTAAGAAATGTTTTTCCAACTATAAAAGTTGGTTTAATAAAAGATATCAGATTTACCCAAAGCACCTTGTGTGCTTATGTCCTTAGACCAGTATGGCTACAACCTATACCTCTGTAACCATGCATATTTGCACATTTTGCTGTCAATTATCATATCTATGTATAGAATTACTCATCCCCTGCTCCCTTTATTCCAACAGAATCAACCTAGTGCAATATTAAACAAGATCTTACAGAAAAAAAATCCAAATTTGCAACAAAATCCTTGTAGCAAGAGCATATTGATTCCTACAAAAGGAAAGTGAGGTATTTGGTAGGGCTGTGCAAAACAGCATCATTTTGTTTTGACCTCTGTTTCACCATTTCAAAGGCACAGTGTTTCATTTCATTGTTTTGTTTCGAAGCACTGTTCTGTTTCATTTTGGCAAAACAGTTTTGCTGTGTCAGAGCGTTTCAACGTTTCAACTTGGTCAGCATGCCTTTGATTTTTATCTATTTTAGCCATGGTTACAGTAGAAATGGATCAAAAAAGTGTTCATAGAAGGAAAATATGAGCGATTCTTTACCAAATGACAGTTGTAGATGCAGTAACAATCAACACACCTCCAGTTAAATACTCTTCAGAATACAAAGTAGCTAGTCACCATAAAACTGTAGTTTAACTATGGGACCTAAAGTTGATGGTTCTGAACAATGATAGAATTGATACACTATAAAGAACTCAATTAAGGGTATTTTCAGATGAAAGAATAAATTATATTACTGATACCCTGGGAGCTTTATTAAACAGAACAGTTTGTGATAAAGAACTTTTAGAAAATCAAACTCTGACCTTTAGAATTTTAGATTTTTCATCAATTTCATCCTCTTGATTGTAAGAATAGAATTACTGATGATGATTGAACTCAACATATTAGACATCTTGTGAGCAAGAGCGTGACTGAATTTTTATACTAGCAGTACAAACCACACTAAAGGCCTATTGAGACACTATGGTATTTATACTGCTTCTCTCATGACTAAATTGAAAATGTTATTGTGATGTTTTTATTGTGACGTGTTTAGATAACTTTTCTTCCAGGAAACAAAATTAATGCTTTCATTAATAATTAAGACTAAAAGATTGTGCCTTATTCAAATCAACATATTGAAAGCTGAGAAGGGTTATGATTGCTGTGTATGAACACAAGATGGGGGTGGTAAACAACAGGATCAAGAAGAACATTTAACTTTAAAAGGATAGTCTCTTGCAATAGGAACAAATATTCACAAACTGGCCATGAATATAATTAGGCTTGAAATTAGAAGGAGAGCTCTAACCATCTGAGATTCTGGAATATCCATCTGACAGGCATAGTGGAGGCAAAAACGTAGCTAGTTTCAAGATAACTTGATAAATTTTGTCATATGAATATGACATAATTGCCTGTGATAATAAAACAATGGGTTTGATGGCATGGACAGTGCCTTAGTCGTGCATTCCTAAGTCACATACTCAGAGGTTTTGCAAGCTCCTTTGTTGCTTTGGGCAAAATTGGGGGACGGGGTGTGCTGAGAGGCATACATGAGGTACCAAGTGGTGTCCAGGACCCTTGGGGAGAATACAGCAGGGCTCCTGGGTCCTAGTAGCTAGAGACTCTACAGAGAGGGAAAGGAGACAAAGGGTGGAGCCATGGCAGCTTCACCAGGTCCTGGCAGCTATGGGGGAAGATACTGTCCAGCTAAGGAGTTATGTGTCTTGCCTACTGACCCACAGGTGCCACCAAATGCTAGGCGAAGTGAAGAAATAAACCCCCTAATTTAAGAGCAGGAGAACCACCCTGTCTTCACATGCTGCTTCTTTCCCCCAAGCACTTAGCTGCCAGGTCCTAAGAGTCTCCCTAACATCACTTTGGGGCTGCTGACCCCTTCCACAGAGCCCAAGCCTGGAGCTGCCAGACTAGTAGCATAGATGCATCTAGTCCACTGCCCCCCACCTTGGTTTCGGTGTTCATCCTAGTTACCCTATTGTATTTACATTCCATTAAGAAAAGAAAAATATTTCCCTCTCTTTTTAAAGAAAATACTGTACAA